TCACAGGTACACGTGATTGTCTACAGATTATCAGAAAATTATCAATATTCTACTTTGTCATTCGCAATGCAAAGAATGTCACAGAAGCCACTATAAAGTAGTCATGGAGCAAGCTAGTAATAGTGTTGAAAGTACTGATAAGTATTATCACAGTACGCATCTCATAAACTAAAGAATGTTCATTAATGAAAGATGTTCATTAATTAAATGTAAAAAGAGTTACATTACAGTCAAAAAAATACCTCATTCAATCTACACTGAGATTCTAATGTGTCCTCTATACTCCAGTCGTTTTCCGAAACTAGGCCTCAACATCAATGAAATCTTTCAGGCTACACGCAGATCCATGTTGCTTAGATGAAACTGTTTTTGCGCAAGTCTGGTGCAATACACAATCTTATGACTTTCAAAAACAAGTGAAATGCGCCTGCATTGCTTTACATTCAAGATGTAAAAACAAACAAGATGAGTGTCAGCACAGCCATATCTGTCTTGTAGAACTTTGTTTGCAGAACTGAAATATATGTTCTCATACTTGTAAAACACTAGTTAGTTTTAGCACTCGCTAACTCACTTCACTGTCTGTTTTTGTTGTCTTGTTCATAAACAGAGTAAGATGTCACTTACCTCTCAGTTCTGAAGTCAAGGCCTGCAGGACAGTTGAACTCTACGAGCTACGTGCACGACTGTATACACGAGTGAATGAAGGAAGGATGCACTGTTAAGGTAAGACAGACAGAGAGAAAGACATTGAGAGGCTCTGTGGAGGCGTTAGTGATGGTTAACTTTTCGCTATGGCAGTCTTCTCTTGGTACCTCTGATCTTTTGAAGCCATTGTCATTGTGATCCTGGAAACGAGTGAGAAAAAACATCATACACCATAGAGGGAGAGAGAAAGAAAAAAACTTTATTGCTCCGACTCAGACCTCAGAGGCAGCTCTCAGTTTGACAAAGCGCCTGTCCTTGCCACTACTTATTTTTTCACTCTCTCTTTCTTATCCATCTTGTATTTGATTGCTATTTACCGCTGTTAAATGCTGTTTGGGAAAAACAATTCTACAACTATTTGTTCCATGTTATATTTTATTGTATTTCCATGGTCTCCAGTTTTACCTCCAGGGGCTTCAACCAGGGGTCCAGGAAGGTACTTAATTTGGTCAGGAGAAGATGCTAATAATAATAAAAAAGCATAATAAAATTAATACACAGTGTTGGAATAGCAGAAATGTTTTTCAACAGCAGTTGATTTTGGATATAACATGCTAAGAGCAGTTTTTTAGTGCACTGACAACTAATCTAAATAACTGAAGTCAAAATATTATTTAACATCAATTAATCAACCAAAATGCATTAGGATACTACAGCAAAACTAGTTTAAAGAGTAAGATTGGGTAGAAATGGCCCTTAAAGGAACAGTTCACCCTTAATAAAAATGAATCATTTATTCAACTTCATGTTGTTCCAAACTAGTATGACATTCTTTCTTCTGCTGAACACAAAGACATTTTAAAGCAAGTTTGGACTTTTTATGTTTATACAATGAAAGTTAAAGGAGTTCAAAAAACAACGCTGACTTGTATGAGACTTCTTTCAAAATATCTTCTTTTGTGTTCCACATAAGAAGTCATAGTCTTTGGAACGCACATGAGAATAAGTCATTATTGACAGAATTTTTATTTTTAAGATTCAGGTTACCATCTCTACGTGTAGGTGACATATTTCAGTAGGCCTTTATTAATGATGAGGTATGAAAATGATTGTTGAAATTGCAACGCAGCCGCCCTCATTCATTTTAGGGAGAGTCACTATTTCATGCAGAGATTTTGAAGAGTTTGACAAACAACGGTATATATTTGATATCGAAAGTCACACTTTTGCTGAGAATAATATAGTTTGGTGATGATGATGGTAGTGATAATGGAGGGGGTGATGAAGAAACGTTTGAGATGAAGATGGGGTTCAAGATAAAAGGGTTTAATGAAGTTTAGTGATGTGAGTAGGCTGTATCAGTAAAACCGAGAGTCAGGCATGACTGGGCATTGTTCGGTGATGAGTTTCACATCAACAGGGCGAGAGGGGGCGTTGTGTCTTTCTCTCTCGTCTCTCTTATTGAGAAGGAGGGAGGAAAAGGAGAGAGAGAAACAGAGCCAGACATGATAAAGCCTGTACAAAACATGAAACGGTGAGTGTGGTTCAAAGTTACCAGAAATTTTTCCTGATTTTAAAGGCATTTCAAGTGAATGACTTAAGTTGATTAAGATAAGTTGCTGTGTGATTTGACTCCATTTTCAGTCTCAAAAAACCCGATTCGCTGCCGTCAAAAGTTGCCAACAGTCAAAACGAAAGCCCCATCCCCACAGAAAAGACACACACAATCACATAGGTACACACACACACAAAGACATGAAGACACGTTTGACAAATACATGTAACACACACACGGGTTTGTGACCACACTCTGTCATCTCAAGAGTGCGACGTTGTGTTTTACCAGAAACACGTCGCTGTCTCCGACGACTCTGAAATATCACTGTACCCCCGCTGACATTCAGATCAACACACACATGCACAAACAGCTGTTATAAAGCCGTCTGAGACAGAATCACAGTATCACAACTACTATGTGCACAAATATTGCTTCAAACATTTTTTTTTTATAAACAAATAATAGTATAATGACCAAACACAATTTGCTATATTTCGGTTTATAATTTTATAATGTAGTCCTTTTTCTAATGTTAAGATTATGTCACTTCCAACTACAAAACTTTGGTTTATTAGTGTTATCCAGTACTACTTTTGTAAAATAATACAAAAATGAATAAAATATTTACATTGTCATAGTGAAGTAAAATAAAAAAATAATAGTTTGAAGCAGTTGTACAAATAAGTGTTTTATACCTCATATGTGACCCTGGACCACAAAACCAGTCTTTAATCGCTGGGGTATATTTGTAGCAATAGCCAAAAAATACACTGTATGGGTAAAAATTATAGATTTTTCTTTTATGCCAAAAATCATTAGGATATTAAGTAAAGATCATGTTCCATGAAGATATTTTGTAAATTTCCTACCGTAAATATATAAAAACTTAATTTTTGATTAGTAATATACATTGCTAAGAACTTCATTTGGACAACTTTAAAGGCGATTTTCTCAATATTTAGATTTTTTTGCACCCTCAGATTCCAGATTTTCAAATAGTTTTATCTCGGCTAAATATTGTCCTATCCTAACAAACCATACATCAATGGAAAGCTTATTTATTCAGCTTTGAGATGATGTATAAATCTCAATTTCGAAAAATTGACCCTTATGACGCCCAGGGTCACATACTTACGTTGCAATTACTTAAACACATGCAGCTCTAATATTTACAACAAAAATGTCACCAAAATGAGTGTCATTGATAGTGTCGGTGTCTAGATTTTTAAGTGTAATAAAACAGGAAAGCACAAGCTAACTTTGATTCAGTCAGTGCACATTAATTGAGTTTAAATGTTTAAATAGCAAAGCGCTGAAGGTAAAATATGTTACATGTAGAAACTGTGTTGTTTTGTTCAGTCTTTATCTGAATATCAACTGACCTGGATGTTTTTTCACTTTTGATTGTAGTTTTTACCAAACATCTTTTAGTTCTCACCAAACATTTTTTTGTGATCTATTTCTGTTCTTTACCTTGTACCTTGTATGTTGTAAACTTCACTTAACTTGATTTAGATTTTATGAATATTAATTGTTATTAATATAATTGTATTTATTATTTTTATTGATACTATAAATAATTGCTCTTTTATAATGAACAGAAATTACAAAATGTATTAATTTTATTTTAAAGGGTTCTGATGGTTTATCACTACAATCGAATACAATAAATACATTTTGCTCTTGTAGTTTGTCTGGATTTGTAACTTTTCTGTACTGCAAAATTCTTCTTCTGTCTGTGGGAGGACATGCAAACGAACAGCCCTCACCACCACTTATATCTGGGAAAGTTCACAATCAGAATTAGATAAAGATTTCTTACAAGATCGATCTCTTTCTGTCTCATACACATGTTAACACAGAGATTCAAGCCCAGAATACGGTTTATTGCCGAAGAAAATATTATATGGGACCTGCAGAAACAAAAGGTAAATAAATGAGAATTATACACCATTGAAATTTCAGATTTGACCTATGACCTTACATTAATCAACACTAGACTGTCATTAAAAAAAAACAAAAAAACAAATGGGGCATCAGGTAAAATATAAAATTACCAAATCTTGTTGTTATAACTTAAGAGGCACTTTCCCCCATATGCAGTAGTGCACATCCTGAGTTAAAAAAAAAATCTAGAGTGTCTAGAATATTTTAATTACTGTATAAATTAAACTTTGTGATAATGAGCCATCATGTTACTTATTTCTTAACTGAAGAACTAGATTTATGAATTGTCACGCTGACCCCATTCTGCATATAGGTGCTGGAAGAAATGTTACTTTTTTACAAGCTAAAGTGTGCAGGAAGTAAGTTTTATATAGTGCATATCACGATCGCACATGACACACATACACACACACACACCTGTTAACTTTAGAGTCTTCCTTTTCCTGCCCTGAGAACTAACGACAAATGGCGTGGAGCCAAGACACAAGCGCACAACAATTATGTATTGTGAGCATAAAGTCAAGTTTTTTCATTATAAAATACACCGATTTAAAAAAGGACACACATACAGCAGTAAACATTTATCAGATTTTGTAGTCAAGTTGATTTATTTTTAAGGTGGTTTTGTATAAACACGTCTTTGCACTGAAAGCAGACATGGAAAACCTTTTTATTCAACTTTATTAGTAGATAAGAGACGTCAAATTTATTACACGCAATGATTGAAAAAAGGTTCTTTTAAATCACTTTAAGATTTGTAATATTTAGACTACTTAAACGCCTCGAAGCAAAAAGACACCATTTTATGAGACCTCAGAGAAAAACAAACAGCTCTGAGACTATATGTGAGGATCTGCATATGTTTGTCTAACCAGCATAAGGATAAGACAACAGAACAGCCTGTTTGGGCCCAAGCTGAAACTTCTCTAAGGAGACCATGCTATCCACGGCTAGATTCGCAGCATCTGTGGTGAGGCGAACCTGAGCTTGTGTCGGCAGGTCTCTATAAGTGAGGTTCATGGTTACAGGGTCATTTCCCCAGTTCATGGCAGTAAGGAAGCGTTCGCTTTGATCCCAGAGGCGGACAAATGCTAATGAAGTGGGTGAACTGAAAAGGCTGACATATTCTCCGTGCACAAGCGATCGCTCTTTTCCCCTCAGATGAGTGAGTGTTTTGAAGAAGTTACGAACTGCGATATGCTCCTCCTGCAGAGTCTGAATGAGTGGAAGATAGAGAGAGCAAGATGCAGTGTTCTGGATTTAAATTTGTAATTAGTACAGTGATGAGATCATATCTACTTGTTATGAATAGTCATGTGAATAATCAAAATGTACCTTTGCTGTTGCATTCGTCTCTACTACTGGGTATTCCAAGTCCCACATTATTTTAGGATTTTCCTGTAAAGGAGGAATCTTAAGTCATCAGCTGGTAACTTCGCTAAATATAAATATAAGACTGAGGCCTCAAAGCTACTCGCTTCTAATGCTTTTAGCTACACAAGCTTGATTTTATGCATTAAGAAATGTGTCAGATGGCAATTCATAACACAACGCAAGTGGCTATATAGCACATATACAACTACACAGTTTATGACTATTTTACAAAGTCATAGCAGAGCAATAGGTTGAAGACTAAGTATTTTTATACCTATACCTGAATACAGCACATTTGGCTTAAAGGCAACTTGATTTTAATTTTTTTATTTATTCTTTTCTATGACCTGGTCTAAGCATCTCTTGAAACAGACTAAACTTAAATACATATTATCTATAAACTTACAAGACATAAATAGTAATATATGAAAAAAAAAAACTGTATTCTTCTGTCCCTTTTTCAACAGGTTTATGAGTCATTAAGAACTAAATTAAAAATGGATTTTAAATTCCAATTCAGTCCATGAATTTAAAATTAATTTAAATTGAGGTAGATTAAGAACTGAAATTCGGATTTACAAGAAAGCATAATTAAAATCAAAAACTGAAGAAAAAAAAAAACTTGGAATATTTACTTGACAAAGCCTAGAATGAATGTTTAAAAATATCTGAAGTTGACATGAATTGAAATTTTCTAAATGCATGTTATTAATGTAACTATGAACAATTTACCTGTGCATTTTTTTGACCTTGTAATTCTTAAGTCACAATATAAAAGAAAAGACCAGCTACTTCCTTTTCATTGCAATATTAGAACATTTGCAAAAAGTATTCATAGGCCTTAAATATGGACTAAGGATATGCAGACGGACAGACGGACGGACGAACAGACAGACAGACAGATAGATAATGAAAATTTGCATATGAAAATACGTAGCTGATATATTTTAGCATATTTAATTAACTATTGTTTTTGTGAACCAAGAACACTAAGTTACCAGAATACATTTTATGTGCTGAATTTCTTTGAATCGCAGTTTAGTAGACTAAATTCTTCTCCAGTCATTTTGAATTCAGTCACAATCTGTGGAGTGTAACCCATTCAATTCAAATTCCAACTAATGAATTTAAAGGGAGCCAATTTTTTAATTCTGAATTTTGCAACCAAACACTGATTCGGCTACCCATATATTTATTTATGCTCTACTCACCCCGGCCTTCAGTCCAATCTCATCTCCAGCGCTGAACACAGGTGTGCCCGGGAGGGTGAACAGCAGCATTTGATAGAGCCTTACAGGCACTGCTGGAGAACCCAGAGTCCGTCCACTCAGACACCAGCCCAGACTCATCTGCAGGTGACTGAAGTAGTGGTTCTTTATTACCTGGGCCTGTCTTTCACCGGGCTCAGCCAGATCAGGCAGTCCATTCAAGAGCAGGTCAACACCTGAGCGGTTCAGCACGAGAGAGACCTCATCCACAGAGAGACCGGTGACTGATCCCATCAGAGCTCTGAAAGTCATGAGGAAAAAGAAAAAAAGTGAAAGCTGAAAAAATTATTGGTTCTTGAAAGCTAAAGAAAACAGAAAGTGGAAAGACACTTGGCCCAAGTAGAGTGAGCAAGCAGCAGTGCTCAATACCCCATCTGGCCAGCAGGTGTAAACAAATCAGAAGAATATGAAATCACTATTTAGATTAGTTCTTAGCACACAATTACAGACACATACACTTTTTTTGGTCTGGACACTTTGGTTGAATATAGCCTGGCCATGAGTCTGTTTTCATGATGTCTCCTAGGTCAGGCAAGAAAATACCACCAAATCAAACCAAAAGTATGTACATGCTTCCTAAAAAACAAATAAATAAAAATAGTTACAAAAATATATGAATTGGTATTATATATACTTCTGTATAAATGTAATTCTAATATCTTAAATCTGCTGTTTTTCTAAGATAAGAGATAGGATCTTACTTGTTTGACTCTTTAATGCTTCCTTTCTCAACTATCTTTTCATCTACCCATATTCACTGTCCACAAAAATAGGCCTCCCTTTACAATTTCCTCTTTCTTATCAGCACTTACTCTGATTTTCTCTGCAACAGCTGTAGCATTGTTGAACCAGGATGAAGCATTTTCATATTTGGGTGTTAAATTCAGCACTATTGAGATACCTGCGAAAGACAGAGGAACAAACTCCAAGAGAAAGAGAGAGAGAGAGAGAGAGCAGGGAAAAAGAAGGGGTGGGGAAATACAATGATGTTTTATATTAAGTTAGCACATGCTTAATATTTGTATTGTAGTGTTAATCTAATTTCATTTCCATTTATGAAATCCCTCATCTGCTAAAAAAAAATCTTCAGGACACTCTTTTGGCTAATATAATGTCTTTCCTAAATTAAAATAATAAACTCAGTCTCTACAGAGGTCAAAGGTGAAACTCATAATTCTCTACTTTAGGCAGACTTTCAAGAATATTATGCATAGAGAGATCAAAAAAGCAAAGGTAAAATGACTTCAATGTTTAGAGGTCTGTTTTGGATGTAGACATGGAGGATAATTACAATGTACAGCCCTTTGACATATTAGCAAGCCTTCATTGGCAGTCAGATTTCACAAGGTACTCCTGGGTAAAAGGCCATTCAGGGTCAAAGGTCACCTTTTTTTGTGTGCTTGGCTCAGCAGAGATTCCAGATCATTCTTAGTGCCTACTTCAGGTTTAACTGAAACCAGATTTAGTTTATCCAGCTGGTCTGCTTGCACAGTGTGTATCGGACCCAGAACAAGGCCCTTCACCTTCATCTGGTTCATATAGTCCAGCTTTTCCTCCACTCCTACAGAGAATGAGAGAAAGAGAAGTTATTGCATTGATACCGTCATGAACCCTCAGCCTGTTTTCACATTATGACCATTATGAAATAAAACCTTGAGCAGGTATTTTTTTAACATGACTAATCTGCAATGACTATAATACTTCTTATATAGTGTTGATATATAAGAATTGAAAAGTTCAACAAATGTTTTGGCTGCTGCATGTGTATACAGTATGTACAGTTTGTGGTTCTGTAAAATACTGAAAAACAAGGCTACTGATCTAAAAAAATGACAAGAATTGAAAACCTCTAAAAATCTAAAATCGCTTTATAATTGTTATTCAAATAACAAACTGGTGTGGACAAAAAAAATCCCATTTACCTTTCAGTCCCTTTTCAGAGAAGGCATTCACGTCAGATATCTGGTACAGAGGACCTTCATTCCACCAGTTCATCTCAGGAATGGGTTTACAGCGTGGGGCCTGTACTATGATTACTATTGCTCCAGCTAACATGCCAATCCAGCCGAACCAGAACAAAACCAGCAAGACCCAACGAGTCCGAACCCACCTGCAGAAAATAAGCAAATCTATATCAAACAGACAGACTGTCAAATGTTTCATTTTAATGTCATAATCCTCATGAAGGTTGCCTACCCAGCTGTACTGGCGATTTTAATTAACTCGTCTTTGGAGAGGCCAGTATACTTCACTCCAGCATTCTCTGGGACAGTGACCTTCACGCAGCCATTTATTTGAGTTTGTCCGGTCATTAGCTGTTTTTCCTGATCCACCTCCTTCAGTTCTACGTCCTTCATGTCTTCTCTTTATGTAAGGACAGCCTTTTAAAAATACTGGATTAAAACAGAGTAAAAGGATTAACTAAAAAACTAGTGAACAGATTCATTACATCATAAAAATAAGGTTTATTGTTAATATATATATATATATATAT